ATTCAGCATCTGGAAGGGCGGGGTGGGGGGGGGGCGGCGTGAGCCTGGCGGGGATCATGCGGGCGGGTGTAGAGAGCATAGGGGACAGGATGGAACTGCGGGAACAGGGAATGGGGCTTGGGGTGTCCCAGGCCTGGGGGTCTGGTGTCTCCATGCTCTGGGTCTGAGGTCCAGCCACCCTGCTCCAGGGCACCTCACTGATGTTGGGGTCTCTGAGGATGGACCTTACCCTGGCCGATGCCTGTTCCTCTCTACCCAGAGGGGTGCCCCTCCCATTTATGTGCAGAGCAGGCAGGGGAGGAGCCTCCACCCTCCAATCCAGACTTGCAGAAAGTGTGTGATTTAGGCCCAGGGTCCCCATGTGACCCATGCCCGCACCAGCCTGATGCCCCTCTGGGTGCCCTAAGGGCAGGGTACATAATCTCACAGGGCACCAGCCTCACCATGAGGGCAGAGGAGAGAGGGACCCTGGCCTTGGTTTAGCATCTGCCATGTTCCCTCTGTGTTTTGGGCTCCCAACCAGGCCGTGTGTGGACTGAGAACTGGGCCTGCAGGTCCCTCCATACCACGTCCAGCAACAGAACATGCCGCTTTCCAGCTGCAGGATCGGTCCCTGCCCCTGCCCAGGTGCAGAGTGTAGACCATTCTTGGAGTCTTCAAACACCACTGCATTTGAGAGACCTCCCACCCAGCCCTACAAGGCCAGAGGTCTACACAACCTGTTTCCCTGAGAGAAATACAGGTCATGACCATGGGCCACCCTCAAGGAAGCAGGGAGGTAACCATGGGATGGGAATAGGTGCATCATCACACTATCTATGGCCTGGGAATCTACGGGGACTCAGCCCTCCTCATCTCACCTCCTAGGAGACCCTCTGTCAGATGAGGAAACAGTCTTGGGAAGGATTGAATCTCCTCAGCAGGAAAAGCCCTGGCCCTTTCCCCCAAGCCAGCATCCATCTCTGGTGCCATCTGTCTGGTTCTGCTAATCTGCAGGGTCCTTGTTATCGCAGGATCTGAGCTCCATCCGCAGAGAGAGGAGCAGACAGAATTGAGGGGGCGACGGCAGGAGATGCCCGGCCTCCCTCAGACACTCCTCCCCAGGCCCACACCCCTGCCCTGGGTTGACCCCTCCACCCCATCCAGGGCTGTCCCTGCCTGTCCATCCACCCCGCTGTCCACATCCCGGGCTGCTATCATCCTGGGCCTCCAACCCCCTCCTGGCTTCTGTGTTCCTGGCCCCCTGTGCATCCCACACTTGCCCCCCAGCCCTCCTGCTCCAGGCCAGCCTAACCCTACCCCCACCTGCTGGCCTGCCTGGCTCGCGGTGGCTCTGGCCCACCCCACGATGTCTTCACCCCAACTTCAAGCAGCATCCCTGGGGGCAGCGGGGGATCCCTGATCCTCTCTGGTTCTGCAAACCCACTCCCCTTTTGCTCTCTCAACAGACTCTCTGGAGCCCCCAGCTCCCGTCCTGGCCCTGTGAACGAAGCCCACGAGATGGGAGCCTCGGGATCCCAGGTGGTGAGGGGTGGGGCAGGGACAGAGGAGACTCCAGGACTGGAGACTGGGCAGGGACACACAGGGGACACCAGGGCTGGAGCAGCCCAGTATCGGCCTGCTCTCAGCTAGAAGCAAGATTTCCCCCTACCTCCCCCCCAAGGAAGGCTCTCATTGGCTCAGGCCCAGTGGGTGGCCCAATCGTGTGTGGATGTGAGTGTTCTGATTGGCTAACTCTGGGCCAATCAGGGCCGTCCAGGGACACCCAGCCCACAGCCGGCTCCCCACGTGGTGGCCCTGCGGAGGCGCAGGAGGGTCAGGCCCGAGGGTCCTGCTAGGAGCAGCTTCCAGGCCATTGCTGTCACTGCACAGCATCCCGACCTGGCGACTCAGCAGCAGGACATGCACGCCCTCCTTGTCCAGCCAGGAACAAGTCAGTGGTAGCGCCCAACCCCCAGTTCCCGAAGACATGCACCTCCTAGGCATCCAGAGACTTGCCCCAATTAGCGAGGAGGATGCATAAGCGGGCACGCTGGGAGCTCAGACTTATGAGGCTTCTGCCATCCCGTGGCTGCACTGCAGGGAGTGGCATGGGAGGCAATGCTGTCGCAGACCGGTCTGTCAGGGGTCCCGAGACAGTGACCTTCAACCCTACTGTGCTGGACCCCTCCTCCCCTTCAGAGCCGGCTACTGCCCCCCTTCATGCCCTGTGCCTCACATGGTGTCTCCTGAACCCAGCTGTAAAAGATTCTCCCATTTGAGGAACTCGAGATCACACCAGGTCACCTGATGAATTGGGGCGCTCTCCCTCCCAGGCTCCATAACCCTCATCACCCCTGTGCAGGCCCTTTTGTTCTGGAGGCCACAGTCACAGATTCTGGGGATCAGCATGTGGGTGTCTGAGGGGCTGTGCTTCTGTCTCCCAGACGTGATACAGGGGACAGGTGGCTGGTGGGACCCCCAGTGCTGGAGACAGGCAAGAGTCCCGAAGTCCCTCCTGTGGGGACCCCAATGGCCTGGGGGGGTCAGGACTCAGGACCCAGTTCATGAAAACCCTGTTCCCCCACCCCACAAGGTGTCATCTGGCTTCCGGGTCCTGGGGGGAGGGGCAGCCTGGGCTGGGGACTCCTGGTTCACACCCCGCTCCCCCGTGTGGAGCTGACGGCCAACTCCCAGGTGTGTGTCTGTGGCAAGGGAGGAGTGGCCCTGACCCAGGTGAGCAGCACAGACCCAGCCACAGCGGTGGGGCAGGCGTCATCTTCAGGGGTCACCTGGGCCCACTCAGACACGTGGTTCTGAGGCATGGCTTCCGTCCAGGAGGCCACATTCTGGTGGGTGATCAGGCAATGTCCTCTGTGCCTCAGTTTCCCCACATCTAACAGGGGATCCCTTACCTGGAGGGTCTCTGTGGGACCCTCCAGCCGTGATCTATGATCGGATCTGGGTGGAAGCAGGAAAGTCCCTGGTGCTGCCCAGGCCCTAATCAGCTGGGCCATCAGGACCCGGCCAGACAGAGGACAGCTAGGCAGGGCCCGGCTGGGCAGGGCAACGGTGCCCATCTGATCTGTGACCGAGACATTGGGGCCTGTCGATGGATGTGGGGACAGGACACAGTGGAGGCGGGCTGTCACGGGCCCAAGCCGTCCCACAGGGCTGTCTGGGTTTCAGTCTGCACTTCTGCATTCCTTCCTTTCTCGCTTTTTAAAAATGTGCCTGTTATTTTAGAACAGGGCTAGTCTCATAGAAACATTGTAGAGAGATCCTGAGGACCAACCCCCTTCACCGGTGTCTACACTACGGGGTCACTGGTCGCAGTGGGTGGGCCAGGTACAGGTGTCCTATTAGTCAATGCCCCCTCCCACTCAGGATCCCAGTGACGTGTGGCCATCTTCTCCTCGGGCTCCAGGTAAGGGCGGGGCACAGCGTGGAAGTGCTGTCAGGCTTTAGGCTTTGGAGAGGCCCCTCCCTCGAGGTTTACCTGCTGTCTCCAGAGGCCCCAAGGCCCTGGGATCCAGGGAAGAGCAGGGTGGCAGGGTGGGGCATACTTCCCATCTGTTGGGAGTTGGCCTCGGTCCCCTGGGGAGATGAGGGGCCTGGTCCTCCACTGTGGCGATGCACCCTGCCCACCTGATACTGCCTAGTCTGGAAGGACCTCCCTGAGAGCTGTGTGGGTGGGGTTGGGGGAGGGTGAGGGGGGCTTGTATTATTTGGAGTTCTTTGGGGGAGTTTGTCTTTTATTTTAGAGTCAGGGTCTCATTCTGTCACCCAGTCTGGAGTACAGTGGATGATCATAGCTCATTGCAGCCTCCAACTGCTGACCTCAAGTGAGTCTCCTGTCTCAGCCTCCTAAAGTGCTGGAACTGCAGGTGTGTGCCACCACGCCTGGCCAAGATGGTCTTTTTTTTAGAGTAGGATTTCACCCTGTTGTCCAGGCTGGCCTGCAGTGGTGACTTTGTTGAAGGACGTCAGAGGCCAAGGTTGCCCAGACAGGATGTGCACAGGGGAGCCCATGGCATCTGAGCAGGAAGTAAGGAAACTGCTGGGGACAAAGCCCCGGGAACCCCTAGTGGCTAAGGCTGAGAGAACCCAGCAACAAAACGCAGCGTTCTAGATGATAACTAGAGTGTGAGGCAAAGAGCCACCAGTCCACACTGTAAACATGTGCCCCCAAATTAAGAAATTATTGGGGAAAGAGATCAACATGGCCAGGACTGGGCTTGCTGGGATTGTCCCCACCATACAGTCCCGGGATACTCAGTGAACCTGTCCTGCTGCCCCGGCCTTCTCGTGTGACCCCGGGACAGCCTCTGGGCAGCCTGCGCATCTAGCAGTGGCCACCTGAGCCCACATCAAGGTCAACACAAGCCACGTTGACTCTCTGCCCCTGGCCGGCCCCCATAGATCTTCGCCCTGCCTTCTGCCCAGCAGCCTCAGCTTCCCCACGTGGCTGGCTGGGCCTCCTGTTCCAAGGGTTCCGTGAGCATAAAGTCCTTCCCTTGTGGCCAGATGCCCTATCCTGTGTGTCTTTCCATGCTCTGCTAAAGCACACTCAAGGCACACATTTTAGAACACAGAGAGTTGGGGAGCACAGCTATGTCACACAGAAGGCAGGGCCTGAGAGGTGGGAGACCCTGTGTGCTCAGGGAGGGAGGCTTCGCCTCGCGAGAGGCTGTCCTGCCCACGACTGCACGTGCACAGTGTTCCCTGGCAGTATTCCAGCAGGCTTTTTTCTTTTTTTCAGAAATGGAAATGCCAGTGCTCAGTTCATACAGAATTGCAGGCTGCCCGGAAAGTAGAAACAATATTGAAAAAGAAGAACAGAGCAGGAAGACTCACACTTTCTGACTTCAAAATGTTTGGCAAAGCTATAGCAATCAGAATGGCGTGGAATGGACCTAAAGACATCCATGAATGGGGTACAGTGGCTCATGTTTCATTCTAGCACTTTGGGAGGCTGAGGCGGGAGGCTTCCTTGAACCCAGGAATTTGAGACCAGCCTGGGCAACATGGCAAGATCTCATCTCTACAAAAAAAAAAAAAGAAAAGAAAAGAAAAAAAGAAGAAGAAAGAAAGAAAAAAAAAACAAGAAATAAGTTGTGGAGAAAGACAATTATGGAATAGGACTGTGAGTCCAGGAAGAAACCCCCACATCAAGGCCAACTGATTATGACAAGGGCCCTGAGACCATCCAATGGAGATGAACATTTTCTCCAACACATGGTGCTGCGACGACGAGGTGGCCTCATGCAGAGGAGTGAAGCCGGCCCCCATACCACCTGCAGAGGGAGGAGGCCTGAGAGGAGGAGTCAGCCATGAGGCGGCGTCCCGCCAGACTCCGAGTCCCTGATGCCGGGATGTGCTCTCGGATCCAGTTCATGTAGTCGGGGATGCCGTGTAGACCCCCAGCTGGCAAGGGCAGCCGCGGCCCTCCCCACAGCTCACGATGCTGTCCACCCAGCAGACCAGGGGCCCTTCCAAGTCGTCCTGGGGCAAAGGTGAGGGCTGGGGGCCGAGGGTGGGGACCCCTGTGTTCTGGGCACCCCAGCCTCCACCACCCACCCAGGCTCATATCGTTGGCCAGGGGGGAGCTGCAGCATGCGATGTCCCAGCTTGACTCTGACATGGGGGTCAGAGTCAGGCTAGGACAGCTAAGGGGAGAGAG